ATTATCCATTATGATCAAGTAGGCTTCATCCCAGAGATGCAGGGCTGGTTCAACATACGCAAATCTATCAATGTAATCCATCATATAAATAAACTGAAAGAAAAAAACCATATGATCATTTCATTAGATGCTGAAAAAGCATTTGACAAAATTCAACACCCCTTTATGATAAAAGTCTTGGAGAGATTTGGGATACAAGGGTCATACCTAAATATAATAAAAGCTATTTACAGCAAGCCGTCAGCTAACATTAAATTAAATGGAGAAAAACTCAAAGCCATCCCACTAAAATCAGGAACACGACAAGGATGTCCACTCTCTCCATACCTCTTCAATATAGTGCTTGAAGTTCTAGCAATAGCAATAAGACAACATAAAGGGATCAAGGGGATTCGTATCGGAAAAGAAGAAGTTAAGCTCTCGTTATTTGCAGATGATATGATAGTATACATAAGCGACCCCAAAACTCAACCAAAGAACTCCTACAGCTGATAAACACCTTTAGTAATGTGGCAGGATACAAGATCAACTCCAAAAAATCAGTGGCCTTCCTATACACTAAGGATAAGGAAACAGAGAGGGAAATTAGAGAAGCATCACCTTTCACGATAGCCACAAATAGCATAAAATATCTTGGGGTAACTCTGACCAAGGATGTGAAAGATCTATTTGACAAGAACTTTAAGTCTTTGAAGAAAGAAATTGAAGAGGACACCAGAAAATGGAAAGATCTTCCTTGCTCCTGGATTGGGAGGATCAACATAGTAAAAATGGCAATTCTACCAAAAGCAATCTATAGATTCAATGCAATCCCCATCAAAATCCCATCAAAATTCTTCACAGATCTGGAGAAGACAATAATCAACTTTATATGGAAAAACAAAAAACCCAGGATAGCCAAAACAATCTTATACAACAAAGGAGCGTCTGGAGGCATTACCATCCCTGACTTCAAACTCTACTACAGAGCTACAGTATTGAAAACAGCTTGGTATTGGCATAAAAACAGAGAAGTCGACCAATGGAATCGAATAGAAGACCCTGACATTAACCCACAAACCTATGAACACCTGATTTTCGATAAAGGAGCTAAAAGTATACAATGGAAAAAAGAGAGCATCTTCAACAAATTGTGCTGGCAAAACTGGATGTCAACCTGTAGAAGAATGAAAATAGACCCATATCTATCACCATGCACAAAATTCAAGTCCAAATGGATTAAAGACCTCAATATCAGTCTGAACACACTGAACCTGATAGAAGAGAAAGTGGGAAGTACTCTACAACACATGGGCACAGGAGACCACTTCTTACATAGAACCCCAGCAGCACAGACATTAAGGACCTCATTGAATAAATGGGACCTCCTGAGACTGAGAAGCTTCTGTAAAGTAAAGGACACTGTCGCTAAGACACAAAGGCAACCCACTAACTGGGAGAAGATCTTCACCAACCCCGCAACTGACAAAGGTCTGATCTCCAAAATATATAAAGAACTCAAGAAACTAGACCGTAAAAGGCTAACCAACCCAATTATAAAATGGGGAATTGAGCTGAACAGAGAATTCTCAACAGAAGAACTTCAAATGGCCAAAAGACACTTAAGGTCATGCTCAACTTCCTTATCGATCAGGGAAATGCAAATCAAGACAACTTTAAGATACCATCTTACACCTGTCAGAATGGCGAAAATCAAAAACACCAATGATAGCCTTTGTTGGAGAGGTTGTGGAGAAAGGGGTACACTCATCCATTGCTGGTGGGAATGCAAACTTGTGCAACCACTATGGAAAGCAGTATGGCGGTTTCTCAGGAAATTCGGGATCAACTTACCCCTGGACCCCGCAATACCACTCTTGGGAATATACCCAAGAGAGGCCCTATCATACAACAAAAGTATATGCTCAACTATGTTCATAGCAGCATTGTTTGTGATAGCCAGAACCTGGAAACAACCTAGATGCCCTTCAATGGAAGAATGGATGAAGAAAGTATGGAATATATACATATTAGAGTATTACTCAGCAGTAAGAAACAAGGACTTCTTGAATTTTGCATACAAATGGATGGAAATAGAAAACACTATCCTGAGTGAGGTAAGCCAGACACAAAAAGAGGAACATGGGATGTACTCACTCATATTTGGTTTCTAGCCATAAACCAAGGACATTGAGCCTATAATTAGTGATCCTAGAGAAGCTAAATAAGGAGAACCCAAAGAAAAACATATAGGCATCCTCCTGAATATTAACCTTCAGCAAGCGATGAAAGGAGACAGAGACAGAGACCCACATTGGAGCACAGGACTGAATTCTCAAGGTCCAAATCAGGAGCAGAAGGAGAGAGAGCACGAGCAAGGAACTCAGGACCGTGAGGGGTGCACCCACACACTGAGACAGTGGGGATGTTCTACTGGGAACTCACCAAGACCAGCTGGCCTGGGTCTGGAAAAGCCTGGGATAAAACCGGACTCTCTGAACATAGCGAACAATGAGGACTACTGAGAACTCAAGAACAATGGCAATGGGTTTCTGATCCTACTGCACGTACTGGCTTTGTGGGAGCCTAGGCAGTTTGGATGCTCAACTTACTAGACCTGGATGGAGGTGGGGGGTTCCTTGGACTTCCCACAGGACAGAGAACCCTGATTGCTTTTCGGGCTGGGGGGGGGGGGGAATTAATTGGGGGAGGGGGAGGGAAATGGGAGGCGGTTGCTGGGAAGAGACAGAAATCTTTAATAAATAAATAAATTAAAAAAAAAAAGTTCCTTTCTGGCAGTCCTGTCCAGTGGTGAGAGTGGGGTGTGGAAGTCTTCTAATATTAGTGTGTAGGGTTTGATGTGTGATTTAAGATTTAGTAATGTTTCTTTTACAGATGTGGGTGCTCCTGTATTTGGGAGATAGATGTTCAGTATTGAGATGTCTTCTTAATGAATTTTTCCTGTGATGAGTATGGCGTTCCTTTTCTACCTCTTTTGACTGATTTTAATTTCAAGTCTATTTTGATAGATATTAGGATAGCTACATCGTCTTGTTTCTTAGGTCCATTTGATTGGATAATTTTCTTTTTCCAACCCTTTACTCTGAGGTAAGTCTGTCTTTGAGGTCGAGATGTATTTCTTATATGCAGCAAAAGGATGGATCCTATTTTTATATCCATTCTCTTAGCCTGTGTCTTTTTATAGGTGACTTGAGTCCATTGATATTAAGGTATATCAAAGCAACAGTCACCAAGAATACAGAAGTGGGCTTTTTGGTGGTTGTTTTTTCTTTGTTGGAGATTCTCTGAGAGGGTGAGGTTTGGAGAGAGAGGAATGGGGCTTTTGCAGGAATTAACTGGAAGGAAGTTCAAGTTGAATAATAGCACCATTTAAATCTTTGGATTCTATGTATATACTCTACCTTGCACATACCTTTAAAAACTTTTTTGCTCTATTTTTAGTTTTTTGTTTTATTTTCTGTGTCTTTTAAATGTCTTTCATCTACCCTTTATTGGTATTTATTTATGATTCTTCATAACTAATTTTTGTTTTCTTAGTCCCTTTCCTTTCATTTGTCTTTGTTAGTAGGTTTAATGTGTCATGATTTGAATTAAAAATGTCCCCATAGGCAATAGGGTGCTGTGTCTTTGTTGGAGTAGGTGTGGCCTTGCTGGAGGAAGTGTGTCACTGTGGAGGTAGGCATTGAGGTCTCAGATGCTCAAGCCAGGTCCAGCGTTGAATGGAGAGAGGGATCCCTTTGTTCTGTCCTGCCTGGCTAGCTTACACCCGAAATAATCACACAGAAATTGTATTCATTAAAACACTGTCTGGCCCATTAGATATAACTTTTTATTGGCTAATTTTTACATCTTAATTTAACCCATTTTCATTAATCTGTGTATTGTCACCTGACCATGGTTTACCAGCGTCCGTCCCAGGCAGGAGATCCATGACGTCTGCCACACTGCCCTTCTTTCCAGAATTTAGTTTGGTCTACTCCACCTATCTAAGTTCTGCTCTATCAAAAGGTCAAGGCAGTTTTTTTATTGAACCAATGAAAGCAGCACATAAACACAAGAACCTCCTGCACCAGCCCAGTGTGGCACTCTCTTCCTTTTGTCTGCTGATCTAAATATAGAACTCTCAGCTACCTTTTCCAGCACTATGTCTGCCTGCATGCCACCATGCTTCCTGCCACAACAATAGACTAAACCTCTGAACTGTAAGTCAGCCCCAATTAAATATTCATAGATTCTCTTCACAGCAATGGAAACCCTAACTAAGACATAGTGTGACTCTGGCTTCCTTTTCTTTGTTATAATCACGTTTGTCTTGGGTCTGTGGTGCTGACATACTACATCTTGTAAAATCTCTTTACCTTTGCCATGAACTCATATTGTTTGCTGGGACTTGTTCCATTGATGATCTTAAATCATGGTGTTGCTCACAGTCCTAATTTTTATTTTTTCTGTGGTTGTAATTTTTTCCATTGAGTTTTCTTTTACTGCCTCCTTTGTGCTATGCTGGTATTCAATATTTGATTATCTTGAGTTTTTTCTGGAATAGCTGTTTGTCCAGATACATAAAGGTCCTAGCTATGTCCTAGGCCATGAAACAATACCCAGTTTTTTTATTCATAAGATTAGTGTGAATCCTTCTAGGTTTTATTGATGTTTATACAACAGAGATCAGAAAGCATTATAATTGCTTATAAAATTGAGGATTGTGCTACAGCCTCCCTTCCTCTGTGTGTGTGTGTGTGTGTGTGTGTGTGTGTGTGTAAATTGTACTAGAAAGTTCAGTCACCATGCATACACCCTATTTCTGTTTTCACACGAGAGGTACTAATTTCTTTTCATTGTGTATACACGTCTTACTTTGAAGAAACAGCTGAGGAATGTAGTCAATGCTTATTGATATTTTCATAGCTGATTTTTTTCTTGGTTTCATAAAAGATGGGGTGGCTTTTGATTCTGTCCTCATTTAGAGATATTGACAATGTTTGACATTTTATCTCTAGGTATTTTACTGACGGTACTGTCCTTGCGCACTATGCAGATGTCTTGGGTCTTCTGCTTAGATTGAGGCAGATTTGTTGTCATATTCATCTTCTTACAAATGGCATATCTTCCAGTGGTTCCTCTGGTAAGAAAATGTGATTGGTTCATAACATTACATTTGCTAAATATTTCACTGAGAAGGACAGATTTTTATATGACTTGAATTTGGTCTGTTACTTTGCTATGCCTTGCTTTAATTAAGATTTTTAAAAATTACATCTTTATTTTATGTGTTTGTATATGAATATGCATGGATGCATATATGGAGGTCAGAGGACAACGTGCAAGAATCAGTTCTTTCTATAACATGTGGGTCCTGGGATTGAGTTCATGTTGTCAAGCATGGTGGCAGATGTCTTTACCTGCTCAGTCTTCTTTCTGACTCCAAAAATTTTTTTATGAATGAAAGGAAGTGTGATGTCTTTGCAGGATTTCCAGATTATTCAAACTGATTCTTTCTCATATGTTGCTAGTATATCAGATACTATTTTATGCTTGTGTGATGTGAGATTGCATTTTCTGAATTTTTCTTAGAATTCCAAATATATGACATGTTTTGCAAATGCTAGAATAAAGATTAAAGACAATTAAGCAAAGTTCTTTATATAAGAGAAAATAGGCCAGGCAGTGATGGCACACACCTTTAAGGCAGGCAGATCTCTGTGAGTTCGAGGTTAGCCTAGTCTACAAGAGCTAATTCCAGGATAGGCCCTAAAGCTACAGAAAAACCCTGTCTTAAAAAAAAAAAAAAAAAAAAAGAAAGAAAAAGAAAGAAAATAAGAGGAACTATTCTAGTTACATTACAAAGTTTGCTCTACATGAATTTTTGAGCCTCTTTTTATTTTCTTCTAGGAAATGATACACCTGAAGAACTGAGAAAGATGTTAATAAAAAAGATGAGGTTAATTCTGAGCTCTGGTTCAGATGAAGAATGTGCAATTTGCCTGGATTCATTAACGTTTCCTGTGATAACACATTGTGCACATGTGTTTTGTAAACCTTGTATTTGCCAGGTCATTCAGAGTGAGCAGGTTAGTTTTTTGTTCAGTGTGGAGTCAGTGTTTGATAGAGTGATACAACTTTCTTTGGTGTGATGAAAACCCAACCTAGTTCAGGGAATGATAATGTGTTCTAATTTGAATTTAAGATTGCACCTTTCACAGTTAATTATTTATGTTGTAATAGGTGATGTATTTATCAAAAATTAAATTCATTACTTTTTGGGGGTACTACCTTTTAGTCAGTAAATTTCAGATCCTTGTGTTCAATTAAATACATTAATAAAATGAGACAGTGAATTTAAGTTTTATAGTAGCCATACATTTTAAAAAGTAAAAAGTAACATGTTTATTTTAATTTAAAGTAAACTATTTGTTATATTTTTTCTTAAACTAATTTCAAAATCTGGTGATCACCCTAATCTGGCTGAGGGACCTGTCTCAGGGATCTGATTGACACATACAGCTCTTTGCCCTGGTGAACAAAATAGGGCTCGATTCTTCTGAGGACAATGTTGGAAACTGAATGACACCTTAGGCAATCTTTCAGCTAATGCAAATTAAAAGTTTTTCAAATTGATGTATACCATGCATTTGGAAAAATGCACAAATTACCATTTTAAGCTTGATTAAGAAGTAAACATAGCTGTATAAACTACTACTTGTACTTAATTTTCCCCCTAGTCATTTATCTTCTCCTCCTAAAAGGTGGTTCTTTAAATAGATTTTTAATATATAAATTTTTGTATCTTTTTGATTTGCAGTGATTTTGAGTATCTAGTTAAGATGTAATCTCATTTTATTAGATCTTGCTTTGAGTGTACTTGTAGCGTTTTAGTACTATGGAGTTTTCAAGCTTTGTAAACTAGTTTTATAAACTCTTACAGTGGTTCTCAACCTTTGTATTGCTGCAACCCTTTAATACAGTTCCATATGTTATGGTGACCTCAACCATAATATTATTTCGTTGCTACTTTATAACTGTAATTTTGGTAGTGGTGTGAATTGTAATGTAAATATTTGATATGCCAAACATGGTCACGACCCACAGATTGAGAACCACTGAATTAAGGACTTTTTCTTTTGGAGAACTGCATGCATGTTTACTGTATTATAGTTATGTTCAAGAAATTATTCATCACATTTTATTTAGCAGCAAATGGTAATCAGTGCTCTGAGCTTCTGCCATCAGTCAGGACGGCACTCTTGCTCTGTCCTTTGTATATGTCTCTTACAACAAGAAGACATGTTTGTATGTTTGGAGATCAGGTCAGGTTGATCCCACGTAGACGTATGTGACAAAAAGCCTGAATAAAATTAACCATAAGGAATGTAGAACTTTCTATACAATACAGAAAATTTAGAAAATTTGTATCTCTATCCTTATGACAAGTGTGGTTCACTCTTTGTTCTTTTGTATATAGCCACATGCTAAATGCCCTTTATGCAGAAATAATATACACGGAGATAATTTATTGGAATGTCCTCCAGAGGAATCGGCATGTGACAGTGAGAAAAAATCCAATATGGAATGGACATCCAGTTCAAAGGTAAAGTACCCATGTGCAAATGTTCTGTTATTTCATATTTAATGAGGGAATATCATATAATTAAAATAGTTATTCTAATTCTGCTTTAAGCCTGTCATTGGATATTATTTTGTTGCTACTGACTTGTGTTTATATTTTGTGTTAAGTTAGAAAAGATAGGGATTTGGATTATTATGGTATTTTTTCAGTCTCTATTCTTTTACTTTTGCCTTTTAGTTAAAGTATATAAAAAACCCTTTCAATGTTGGAATTCATTCAATGAATGCTGCATTATGTGAACCTAATTAAAATTAGTGTTTGCTAATAAATTTTAAAAACTACAATATTTGGACTTATCTTACCAATTGTATCTAATGGATACAATATTTTTTTTTTCTAGATCAATGCTCTAATGCATGCTTTGATTGAATTACGGACAAAGAACCCCAACATAAAAAGTTTGGTTGTTTCTCAGTTTACCACTTTCCTGTCTTTAATAGAAACACCACTTAAGTAAGTTTAAGTGTTTTTTACTTCACATAGGATTTTGCTCATGTTTAAAATCAAGGTTTTAATGTTTTACCAGGTTTAGTCATTTCATCTTTTTTAAATGATATTTAATGTAACCACAGAACTTCTCCTGTATATAATCTAGTATTTGATAGATGGCTAGATGCATAGTATTGCTTTATTGAGAAATGAAGGAAGGAGTGAAAGTGTAGTCCCTGGGAAAGTGCTTGGGTTTGACTGGCCTTTTACCACATTGATTTAATTAGGGAAGAATTTAGTGTAACTAAAATGTGTTCACTATTTCATACTTTTTATAGTATAGTATTACCTATCTGTTCTTTTTTCCCCATTAGAGCCTCAGGATTCATGTTTACTCGTTTAGATGGTTCCATGACTCAAAAGAAAAGAATTGAATCAATTCAGTGTTTTCAAAATACAGAAGCAGGATCTCCCACCATAATGCTGCTGTCCTTAAAAGCAGGTGGAGTTGGCTTGAATCTTTGTGCAGCTTCTCGGGTGTTCTTAATGGATCCAGTAAGTACTTATACAGACTTTGCAAAATGTTATCCCCCACTTCCATTTCCAAGCAAATACAAAAAGAAAGAAAAAGAAACAAAACCTGTTTGGTGGATGCCTTTGTAGTTACAATAAATTGTGATAAAGGTAACATTACCCTTATTTGCAGTTGAGGGAACTGGTGCACAGAAAAGTGAACAGAATTAAACAATGTGCCCAGTATCATACAGTGCTCTGTAAGTCAGATCTGTGTTCTTAAGTCTCTTCTGAATGCTTAAAACATGCCTGTGAAAGTGCTTTTAAGATTCAGTAAGCAGCAAATTAATAAGTTCTCACTTAGTGTTGTATGATAGCGACATTGGGAATCTGACTATGAATCAGACATAGTGGCTCCTATTGTGGTGCTGCCTCTAACTTGTCTAAACATTAGGTCAAATGCGGTTTTAAACCTCTCTCTTCTGAGACTTAGGAGTTCCTGGAGGAGACTTAAAATGTATATTTTATACATGTATTCTAGCTGATTCAGGTTCAGCTGTCCATCAACATGTTCTGGGTAAGTTTTACTAGCTGATAGTGGTTGTATAATTCAGGCTGTAGAAATAAGAGAGCCACAATTTACTCTGCACTTTTTCACAAAGACAAATAATCTGAGGTTGCATACATGTAGGAGTGTATTTTTCAGAATGTACAGAATGGACTCTTTAGATATAAGCACCATAGACTGGTTTTAATTTCTAATTTGCTCAGTATGCTATGTGGGCCAGGCAGTCCTGTATAATTTCTATGCATTGATACATTTATGATTTATGATTTGGCTTGCTTCTTGAAATAGCAGATTTATAAAATGGTAGCATGTAGACATTTTACTAAGATAAGAATATTAGTTATTCTGTTAAGGCTTCCTAGCTTGATGCATGCGTCATGCCTTTTTTTTTTTTTTTAAACTGTTTCCTTTTTGAGGATAACCTTCCCAGAGTCATGTTGTACCCACTTCCATGGGTACAAATTACGGGTAGCAGTGGTGAATATTTCCTTAGTGCTGTGGTCAAATCCAAAGTTAAAATTTATGGTTATTGTTTTAGAAATCTTGTATGCTATGTTATACTAACTAATTCAGGTATAATCCTTTAATCCCTGCACTTGGGAGGCTGAGGCAGGCGGATCTCTGTGAGTTCAAGACCAGCCTGGTCTACAGAGAGAGTTCCAGGACAGGCTACCAAGCTACAGAGAAACCCTGTTTCGAAAAACAAAACAAACAAAACAAAAAAACAACAAAACAAAAAAACAACAAAACAACAAAAGTTTATTTTTAGAACAGAGTATAAAATTGTTTTTCTTAAGTTGGCCACTGAAGTTATGGTTTAAAAAAAGTGTCGCAATGTTTTATAACTTTTGTAGTAGATTGATTTTTACTGAACTTGCCACACTTTCCAATGTCATTTCTAACTTAAAAGCAAAAGCTAACCCCCAGAAAAATAAGATTCAACAACAAAAACTTGAAAATTTTTTACCTATTCACAGAGCATTCTCTAAATGTTGGAGTAATATTTAAATGGACATCATGAGTTACCTCCTTAATCATTACATGTGAGAATGAGTGCTGTATGATTTATATTGTGAGATAATTTAGATCTCTTTTTTAAAACTACATTTATATTTCCAGCTTAACATTGTTCCTAAAATAAAATACAGGCAATAGGAAAAATTGATTTCATCTCCTGGTATAATAACTTAAAAATATCTGTGAAATACAAGTAATTCATAAAGTTTTTAGAAAATTTTAGCTGATATATCCTGAAATCAACTCCTATACTGGAAAATATATTACTTAAGTCATCAGCAAATTGACAGAAAAAGTAATTTTTTTCTTAGTCCCCAGGGAATTTATTAGAAAATGATACCTTAAACATGACCTCATCTACATATGATTGTTTCTATTTTCAGCTAGTACTTACTGTGTTCCTTTACCCCCAAATACTGTTTTCAGGTTTATGTGTCATGTGTTTTGGTATGTGCCTGTGTAAGTAAGTATGTAGACCAGGGAATGATGTTGGCTGTCTTTTTCTTACTGCTCTCCATGTTACTCTCTCAAGATGGGATCTGTCATTGAACCTGAAAGTTGCATTTTGTCCAGTCTTGCTGACCAGTGAGCTAGAATCTACTTGTCTCTGTTCTCTGTCCCCCAACATTGATCCATCTACTCTGTGGATGCTGGGGATTTCAACCCAGGTCCTCATGTTTCCACAGCAAGTTCTCATACCACTGAGCCACTCCTAGCTCTTGCTTTCATTTTTAACAATCTTCAAATTTAACTTTTTTTGTAACTTTTATTATTTTTATTTATGTGTGTCTGTCTTAAGTGTGCATAGCAGCTACCTGAGGAATCCAGGCAGAAAGCTTCAGATACTCTGGAGCTGGACTTAATGGTGGTTTTGGAATGTCTGAATGGGGTGTTGAGAACTGCATTCCAATCTTCTGAAAGAGAAGCAAGCACTTCAACCATTGACCTATCTCTCCAGTCCCCAAATTTAATCTTTTTATTTTGAGACAGGATGGAGCTTGCTCTGTGGGTCTTGAACTCATAGAGAGCTGCCTGCCTCTACCTCTAAAGTGCTGGAATCAAGGGTTTGTGCCACTGTGAGGAGCAATATACTGGTTATCTTGACAGCAATGTCTTTTTTTGAGATTATAATATATATTATATATAATACATAAATTATACACATCACATAATTATATATAATTACGATTATATCAATGATATCATATATAATTATATATGATAATTATGATATATATTTTAATATATTATATATAATATCATTGTTTCTTTCCCTTTCCTTCCTCTAAACCTTCTCATGTACCTTGCTCTCTTTTCAATTCATGGCCTACTTAATTGTTTTATAAACATATATGTATGTGTATATTCCTAAGTGCATAAATACAATCTTCTCAGTCTGTATAATGTCATTTGGGTGTGTGTTTTCAGGAATTACAGTTTGGTACTAGATAATTCGTTGCTGTGCTCTTCCCTGAGGAAGACCATTTTTTCCACTCTCAGAATACAAAGTACTGTAGTCCTTTGTGTCTGGTTGGGACCTCTTGGTCTTTCCTCATCCATATTAGCATGTCAGAAGCTATACCCATAAAGTCTCACCACATGACTACCTCTATCATTTTGAAGCCATTTGGCTGCTACTGAAGAACTCTGTACCTGGGTGTTCTTATTGCTTTATTTCATCATTTTTTTCAGCCTTTTTATGCACTTTTATGTTTCAGTTTTGAAGTTCAGGTGATTCCACATACATATGTTTGCATCCACAAGTCTGAGAGCTTTTAGGACTTTTGACTACCCTTGAAACTTTTTTGTATTTGTGTTTCATCAGTGGGAAAAGAAAACCTGCCAAGACACTTTTTCATATGGTGGCCGTTTAAGCTATCTGAGAGAATGTATAAAATCACAAGGTGTTCTGATCATTATGTTGCTGTCCCCATGCCTGCCAGGCCTTTGTTGGGCACAAGTTGAACATCCCTTTCTGAGATTCTCTAAACTTGGATCAGTTCGAGGACTGACTCAAACTTAAGAACGTTTTGGACTTTGGGTTTTTGGTTTATGGATCTATGCAAACATTCTGAAAAATCTGAAAAATTGAATATTAAAACACACGGGCCTTAAACATTTCAGATAAGATGGTTGTAGGAGGTCCTTCTGTCAATTGTGTTGCTTTCATTGGTTAATAAACTGCTTTGGCCTAGTTGATAGTGCAGAATTTAGGTAGGTGGGGAAAATTAAACAGAATGCTAGGAGGAAGAAGGCAGGGTCAGATAGCTGCCGTGGAGCCACCAGAGTCAGACATGCTGAATCTTTCCCAGGAAGCCATTGCCACGTGGCGATATACAGATGAATAGAAATGGGTAAATCAAGATGGGAGAGTTAGCCAGTAAGAGGTTTGAGCTAATGGGCCAAGCAGTGATTTAATTAATACAATTTCTGTGTGGTTATTTCGGGGCTAAGCTAGCCAGGCGGCTGGGATGAACAAGCAGTCCACCGTCTCTGCCACAATAAGATGCTAAACTACTGCTTAAGTTAATGGAATGCAGTAGATGGGCAAAGACTGCCTGTTTTCATAGTGATTGGGAAATAGCTTTCTTCCAGGTACATTTGTAATCTGTGTTCGAATTCAATTGGAAAAAGGTGAATACAGCATACTGAGATGAATGACTGGCGCATAGCAATGATCCTATGGTCATCTCCCTAGGCCTGGAACCCTGCTGCAGAAGATCAGTGCTTTGACAGATGCCATCGGCTTGGCCAGAAGCAAGAGGTTATCATTACAAAAGTGAGTTTTTAGAGCTACCTATTTTAAGACTATGTTTGCTTTTTGAAATTAACACAGGTATATATGAATATTACCATGACTGAAGTAGGATTGTGGAGAAAATATAAAACTCACCCTGCATCCTACTCCATAGTTTCACACATGGTCAAAGGTACATACATTCTTGTCATGTATATATCTCAACATAAAAAAATTGAAGAAAGTTGGATAATACTTTATCATTTATAATATATTCTTTCCCCTTAAACGTGCATTGAAGATTTACTCTCTATATCCATTTAGAACGACACTTTCTTTCTGGGGTAATATGTACACAGTTTACCATTCCAGCTGTTATTTTAAACACAGAGTTCTTTGCATTAGGAATACCCTACGATGTGCAGTAACCATCACCATCCATCTACAGAACGTCTCTGTTGTACCTAACAGAATCTTCTATGTTCACTTTGTGCTCCTTTACACTTCCCATTAACTCTCCATTACCCAGCCACTCAAAACTGCCATTCTGCTTTATATCTGTGATTCTTAATCTTCATTAGCACCTGCAGACAGATATCATGAATAAACAGTCTTCAGCTTTGTAAAAACATCAGTGTTGCCTTCAGAGGTGCTGTACATACATATTTGTGCACATATACCAGTATTTCTTCAGGGTAGATTCACAAAATTATACTTTTGGATTTAGAATTGCTATTTAAAATACTTGAAGTAGCCTTCAGTATGGGCCATGTAATGCCAAATAGGGCAGGCAGGTTGGCCAGTGAATCCTAGAAACTTGCCTGCTCCCTCCCCAACATTGAGATTTTTAGCATATTGTTCCATACCTGACTTTTTAAATGTGGGTTTTGCACTTTGGCTTATGTTCTTCTGACTGAGTCTACAAAGTTAGATATCTGATAAAGAGTTCTCTTTAATGTTCATTTTGAAAATTTCATTAGTTATCACTATTATTATTGATAATAGTACACCATTATATCCCACTTGGTGAATATTGAATAGGATTTATTAAATTTATAATTCCTTTGATAACTGTCATCATTAGGAATAAGAAATCTTTCTGGACGCATATTAAATGCAAATCTAGTTTTTAAAATGTATTTCAGTGAAGTTTTTTAATACACCTTCTTTTGTTATTGCAGTAACTAGGACATTTTACATTAAAGTGTTTGTTAGGAATACTTTATTACTTCACACCAAACGCTTTTTTAGGATGTTTCTAGTAGAGATCTTGACCAAGACTTGGACATGCCTTTTATTCCTAGGTGAAGATTTTATTACTTTTAAGATTTTTATCAGAAATGTTGAATTTTATCAAGTTTCTTAATTATCGCTTGACATATTGGCACGTACTTTCTCATGTACATAAAGACTTTCATTGTGGGGGCTGGAGAGATGGCTCAGTGGTTAAGAGCATTGCCTGCTCTTCCAAAGGTCCTGAGTTCAATTCCCGGCAACCACATGGTGGCTCACAAACCATCTGTAATGAGGTCTGGTGCCCGCTTCTGGCATGCAGACATACACACAGACAGAATATTGTATACATAATAAAATAAATAAATAAATATTTAAAAAAAATTTCTTAAAAAAAAAAAGACTTTCATTGTGGAAACTTCATTTGACTCTTAATATAATGCTGAATTAAATCTGATATTATTCTAGCTACAGGAATACCTATATAATTTGTGTTATTTTTCTCACGTAGTGATGTGGGGAGTGGTATAACTTCTGTCATTTTAGCCGTTTTCTTTGTACAATAAAATGACATTGAATGAGAATGGGAAGCCATGCTTAGCTCCTACAGATGTTTTAAATATCCTCATTGCATATTGAGAAAGGAAGAGAAAAAAATTATATATATATTTTAATGTGAAATAATAAAATATTCCTATAATACATTGTAAAATTTCTAGTTGCTGCAATAAGGAAAAAAAGCTGACCTTAAATAATAATATTTGAGCAGGGAGGGGAGCAGAGAAAAATGTAAAGCTCAATGAAAAATCAATTAAAAAATGATTGTTGAAATAGCATTAAGTTCATTGTAAACTGACCTGAAGGATATTTATGTATATACACACAAGGCACACACATAAGTATGTATGCATATATAATCTTTTGACTTTTAAATGTGGGTATTGCTGAAAAACATTCTTTTAAAGTGGTATGTTTATTCCTTATGACTTTAGTGGGCAGTGTTGTTAGCATGTTAATCCTTTGTGCAGCTCAGAAATAGTCTAATTTTCTTTGTAATGTTTTTTTAAAGAGTATATATAAAAAAAAAACCTTTATTTTGTTACCTGAAAAGTTCTTAACCAACTTCATTCATTTTTCTTCTTGAAGTTCATTGTAAAGGATTCTGTCGAAGAAAATATGTTGAAAATACAAAACACAAAACGAGAACTTGCAGCCGGTGCTTTTGGAACTAAAAAACCAGATGCTAATGAAATGAAGCAAGCTAAAATAAATGAAATCAGAACTTTAGTTGATTTATAATTTGTATGACTTTTGTAAGGTTGGGTTGAACAGATGCCTAAGTTTTACACATGACAAATACAGATTTAAGAATGAGGTATAGAACATATTCTTTCTATATGGAGCATTTTTTTCTATTAATAAAGTGGTATTACTGACATATCTCTTCTATATATGAATCTTTTTTTAAAATGTTAACTTTCAATAGCAATAAGTTCCATTGCAAAATGGCCTGAAGGAGGTTTTCATAGAAGTTCTTTTGCTCTCCAGCTTTTCCTAAGCCTTTGCTAAGTATTTTCCTACATCTATTCTGTATTCCACATCTTCATACTGAAGTGTGGTCATAGCTTATACTTTTGACCATAATGTTAGTTTTTCTTTGATGGAAATATTAGGTTATTCACCAAAGTCTTTAATTGGTGATCCAGTGGGTCTACCATCCTTGTAAATTATTAACAAGTATGTATACAGATTATAAGAAAGATTTTATTGGATGTTCAAAAGCTATAGTTATAACCAAACCTTAAATGGAAGACCAAAATTCAAGGGAGCAAGTTAATTGCAATTCTTATAGCTTCATTGAATTATAATTTATATGTGGTTTGCAGAATGTCTTTAGAAAAAAATAGGGACCTCATCAAAGTTGTGTATTCATTTTAATAAAGTGGTGCTACATTCATTATTTAAATGTAGTCATAGATCACAAGCCGTAAATATTCTTGTAGAGGTGAGAGAACCAGTTCTACCCGGTTTGTTTTGAAAACTTAAATAACTTGATTTAAATAGATACTTCTATAAATTGTTTTTATTTGTGTAGGGCTTTTGGAAATAACTTCATAAATTTTCATAAAACAGAAGACTACTATTGTATGTGAGAGGTGTGATAATTAGGTTGGAAGTTGGCTGGATGACCAAAAGTCATTTCAACCCTTAAAGACATCTCAGTCCTGAATTTTGTAAAAATGGCTTTGTGTGTTTTAAATCAGAATTTAATTTTGGAATTTCACTAACTGATCCATACATTTTTCTTACCCCTTTTGCTAATAAGAAAACTTACTAGTTGCCACAGAATTATAGATGACTTTGAGTCATCTTAAACAAATAAGCAGTCAGGTTATATAATTAGTCATTTTATTTTCCTATGGATGCTTTAAAATCCAGTTAAGAGATTACTAAGAAATTCTTCATGGTTTATGGTACAGACTGAAGAATATCTGAGATTTTACTTGTGCTACAAGAGATGTAACTGAAAGAGATGATAGATACCCTTCTAAGGTGTATGGCATATCGCTCACCCACTACCTGTTATTGCTCCAAGGGAACAATTAGCCAGCAAGAATCTTCCTAGCTCCATTTCTCATAGTAACAGGTGAGGTAGGCATGGTTTTCAGGAAAACATTTCTATCAGGGTGTAAGTGGACTGGCCTGCTAGGGTTAGGAGCCCCATGGGAGATTTTCTACCTTGTAAGACTACAAATCCAGTCTCATTACATATGGAATTATGGTTCTGTAGTACCCACACAGTGAAATTAAGTATAAACTGTTTCTGGCCCAAACAAGAAAGAAACCCACCTTACCTATTTTAATTACAGATAAACTCAGGCTCAGAAGTGGAGGCAGTGTGCTGCTTACCCAGAAAACTACAGTGTTGTGCTTTAAAATATATTCATAGCAGTCAGGTTTATCAAGTAATTTTTTAGTATATTAATTAGTATTAATAAAAAGGTAATTCAAGATGTATAAACCACTGGAATGAAAATATTTATGCTATGCTATTTTATTACTTAGAAATATACTGGAAATATTGTATTTATAATTGTTTCAAACTGGATTTTTCTTTAAATTTAAACTCAATAAAAAGCTAAAAAAATTGCCTTCCTTGGTGTCATCATTTAGTGACTATTTTCTTTTTTTGGTGGTGGCGCACACCTTTAATGCCAGCACTCGGGAGGCAGAGGCAGGCGGATCTCTGTGAGTTCGAGACCAGCCTGGTCTACAAGAGCTAGTTCCAGGACAGGCTCCAAAACCACAGAGAAACCCTGTCTTGAAAAACCAAAAAAAAAAAAAAAAAAAAAAGTCTCACTTCTATAAACATGTTCATTGTACATTTTTTTTATTGAATCACTTAAAAGTACTGTCACTGTAATTTACTCATCACATGTAAGTTTTGTGCAACTATTGAAATTCTCCTTCAGATCTTAGTGTATATTTGAAGTTTATATAAAATACACTGATCTGAAATACTGGGTTACATTTAATCTCCTCATTTTAAGAACAATGGGAGTTATTATAATAACTATGTGTAATAAATTGTAGATTTTGTCCTTAAAAACTAAACATTTAAGATTATAAATAATCCTATTTAGTTTATTCCCAGTGAGTATATTGCTCACAAGGGGATATTGATGTAAGTGCATATTGATCACTTCCATAAATATATTTATATATTTATATTTTGAGTTACTGCCTCTTTTATACAATCTTATTATAAAATTTTTCAGGGGTTTGTTGGTATTTTGAAAGTTGAACTGTCTGGGAACAATTTTGTAAGATTTTTTTCGATAAGGTTTACTTAAGGCATTTTTGAAAGATGAAGCCTCCTAAAGAAATGGTAGACTACTCGGTGACAGTGCAGCCATGTGGCTTGATACACCTTATACTGACTGTTCTATGTACTGTTTCTAACTCAACGTCAACAGACTTCACTAAATACCCACTATGTAAAATCTAATCATCATATAAGCTTTTTTTACCTTAAACCTTAACTTCTTACACTGTAATATACACTGTAAAATAGACAATGAGGCCAAGCGGTGGTGGCACATGCCTTTATTCCCAGTACTCAGGAGGCAGAGGCAGGCAGATCTTTGTGAGTTTCAGGCTAGCCTGGCCTACAGAGTGAGTGCCAGGACAGGCTTCAAAGCTAGAGAAACCCTGTCCTCAAAACAAAACAAAACAAAAATAAAAATAATAATAAAGAACAACCAACAATTCAGTGCTTGATTTCACAGAATTTGATGTTTATAAATCTTTTCTAAATTAAAAAAATATTTCCAGTCATATTTTTTTCTATACACTTTATTTGGATTACATATTGCTTGGCCACAAAAATAGAGGTGGTCTTCTGTTTATTTCTAGCAGACTCATAAGCCAAAAAGAAAGAGATGCATATGACTTAGCCAAATTACCTCGAAGAGGTTTGTGATTCCATTATATGATCTGACGAGTGGCAGAGTCATTTCAGTCCTTTTGGTAAATGTTTCTTTTACTAGAAGACCATAGCAACTCATCTACCAGTCTAAGTGTCTCAGGATATTTTATCACTATTATAATTTAAATAAGTAAGTTAAGGATTTCTTGTTATAGCTTCTGAGTTGCTTCCTAGTCATTCTTGTCATAAGGTATCCAAACCCTTGAGTATTCATTCAGCCACAAAGAGTATGAATGACTGATACCTACAAGATATTACAGAAAAGAAGATAAGGACCATCAAATCTTGTTTTTCCCATTCATGTTCTCTTACTTTCTTCAGCTCAGTTATATGTGATACCTTGTTTTCGTTATAAAGGATTATTTTCGGCCCCATGCTTCACAGCTTGCCACTCATTGCAACACTCTGTTGGTGCTGTGGGTCATTGCTCTAGGGTGACTGAATGAATGCATAAATTCAGGCACCCAGAAGTCTAAAAGACTTATATTTGTATTGTTTTTCTTTATAAAACACTAGAGATCACTGGGTCCACGACTGAGTCAGATAATTCTAAAAGGTTACTGAGTATAATTACTGATATGGCCTCATAATTTTAAGGTTTTAAGAGTAAAGCTCTCTGAATACTCACCAAGGATATAATTATGATAGACTAGGTACCTTTTATTTCACTTTTCTTTACTGATCATATCTGTTACCATCACTGGAGAATAGATTTAAATGTCTTAGATAATTTTTAAAGCATATACCAGTGTGAAGGTTTGTAGTTTTGAAACTGAGCAATTGCACATATTTTGAAAAAATTACTGAATGATTTTTTCCAAGGGTGAGGTAGAGAAGTACTTAAACAACCAAGAATGTCAATAAGTATTTATTTATTTTATATAATGCCACCATAGGTAACCATCAGAGAGCACACTGCAATTTTCAAGTAGACAGAACTGGAAAAAAAGTGAGCCTGCATACTGCCTTCAGGGTGCATAGAAAACTGGTGAACTAACAGTAGCTGGTAGGCTTATGAATCACTCCACAGTGTTAATAAAGGCTGCTTTAGCCTGAAAATAGAATTAGCTCTCTGGCAGGCTTTGGGCGACTCTAAACTGCAGGTCTAATGAAGGGAACAACAAGCAAATATGGGACAGTGTCATATCTTGTTTGAGGTGAGACAGATGGACAGTCAAGTTCTGCACCACTTGGAGAACCACTGTAATAGCTTAACGCTGGCTTTCCTTTACCATACATGTGGGCAACTGAAGAATTAAAGAATTCCCGAAAAAGTCTAGGATTAAACAGCACTTATCCATGTACTTCATAATGTCTGACCAGTTGTCACCTTTTATCCTGCCCACCTTCATCTGAGGAGGTTTGTTGAAAGCCTCTAACAACTATAACAGACTTTTCAACCAGCTTCACATACTAAGTATCAGAAACGTGCCTAAGACGTGGATGTGTCCACAGGGAAATGGCAGTGCTTCTATTGTAGGTAAGTGTCAAGTTTTCTCTTGATGTTATCAAAAGAATCTGCTCCCATGTAATCAGCCTGGCCCTGTTCCCACCGTTCCTTCCTTTCTTCTGAGGACATAGAAGGCTGTGTTGTAGCTGGAGTTTCCCCAATGGACAGGTGTGACAAAGCTCCTGAGACATGCTCCTAGAAAAGAGAGTCATCAGAGGTACCTTAAGAGCTGAACGTCCGATGAACTTAAAGAATGCAATAAACAGAACATGAGAAAAGCCAAAATGAGTCATCATGCAAAAACTGAAAAGTATTACATGAAACAAACAAAAAGACAAGAATACAAGGGCCAACATGATTTTTTTTTTCCCCTAAAAAATGAAGACTTCTTGACTTGGTGAAAACATTGGGAGAACACAGTAATTAGGGTTAATGTTTAAGTTCTGCATACCTTTCTACAGAAGCCACAAGAGAAAGCCAGTGTATAGACCAAGTCTGAAA